GTGTGTGTGTGTGTGTGTGTGTGTGTGCATGCGCATATGTGTTTGTGTGTATACACATGTGTGTTTACGTGTTTCTGCATACACTCTAAACTGTTCGTTAGGAATTCACTGGAATACTGCTCCCTCTGTCATGTGTGTTTTCTATCATTTTCAAGCTGCTCCGTAAAAATCTGCACTAGAATTAAGCTTCTCATATCCATGCTCTGTGTGTTGTTCTGATCTATGATGGCTGCAGTTCTTGTACAAGTTCTTGGAGACTCTAATCCTGCAGCAAACTTCCGTTGAAGAGGTATAGTATATCCCTGTAGGCATATACATGTATGCATGTGCTGGTATCAACTATACTCACAAGAGATAATTCCGAGGTGTTTGACTCACGGGATAACACATTATTTTCGGTGTAATTTTATTTTGGGTAATTTTGGAAAAAGAATTCAGACACCTAAGAGTATGGACTGTTTGTGAAGCTTAGGATGGTCACCTAATTCCACATTACGCCTGAAACCTGGCAAGTCACTGGTACCGAAATTTAAATACTAGCGCACCAAAAATAACATGATATACTGTAGGTTTATGGGTAATCCGATTACGTCGTCAGTTGAGATGATACCGCGACGTGTTTTATTTTGTGTGTGTGTGTGTGTGTGTGTGTGTGTGTGTGTGTGTGTGTGTGTGTGTTGTGTGTGTGTGTGTGTGTGTGTGTGTGTGTGTGTGTGTGTGTGTTTCACCCTAGCCATGACAGTTGTAACTTTCCCTCAGTTTTTCATTTTTCTCTACTTCTTCACCCGCAGGCATACAGTCGATTCGATGACATGGCAACCGAGCTAGCCGAAGAACTGCGTCGCTATACCAAGAAGGTTCAGCAGACGCGAGGAACGGATGAGGACGCAGCTCGCAGAGCTATCAAATCATATGATACCGCCATGCAACAGTAAGTACTAAGCAGCGTGCTGTTTTGCTAAGCACAACATCAGTTATATCAGTACATTTATGTTCAAAGTATTTAAAAGCAAGTGAAGTTCTTTCAATTCCATGAAATCTACCTTTTATTGTTTATTTCTGTTTTCAGATGTACCTTTGTAACTTTGTATGTTTGTGTGGCTGTGTGAGCACGTGTGTGTGTGCGTACGTGTGTGTGTGTGTTCGGAATTGCATGTGTGTGTGTGTGTGTGTGTGAGTGTGTGTTTGTCTGTCTGCGTACATGTGTGTATGTGTCTGTGTATGTATCCACATACCTATGTCCACATGTATGCCTGTAGGTATGTTCCCGTGTTGATGCACCAGGCTAAGATCTACTGGGACCAATCTAACTATCCAGCTTTGGAGAAGGTCAGTGAGAATCAACTGTAGGGGTGTCATTTGGTAGTAGGCTACCCGTGCTACCCGTAATTAGAGCGGGTATTCGGGTAGCAGTTGCTCCTGAAAACCCGATCGAGTAGTAGGAGTATGGTGTTTTTGCAATGGTGCGTGTAAAAAGCACAGCTACGTGCTTACTCCACACTTTATATATACTGTACAGGCAGAACATTTTGCCGATCAATAATTTCGTGCAACTCCAAAGAAAGGGAGTTCGTCCGGTTGTAAATTTCGTCCATGGATCATAAGAGTGTATTGAAAAGCTGGACAAATCGACTTTAGTCCAGCATTTAATTTAGTCCAAACGTTTCTTGGACGAAAATGCACACTCATTGTTCAAACTATGTCAAAAAATACCCATCAGAGTGCCTGTCCTACCCGGATATAAATACCCGAACTCGCCACCCGACCACACCCCTACCCGTTGCAGCCCTGATCATTATACGCACTGTGGAGGTGGTGCCATTACATCATCAGTTATGTGATGACGTCATCAGTTGAGAGCTCTGCAATCGCATTTGCTGCTATGTCGAAATAATGAGATTACTGTACACAGAGGCTTTGGAAGCTACTCTGCATTGGTGTGACTGCAAAACAGGCATGTGCTATAATGGCCCTGTAGCTTTGGCCACACCTACCGCACCAGTTCCGATGCCCCTGCCACATGAACCTCACGTACCAGGTAACCATTCCTGATCCTCATGGGAAATTCATCAGAGTTCCATTTTAACTACATAAACACCGCCATGTGAACTATATGCCCCTCTGCCCCCTCCTCTCTCCCCTCTGCCCCCTCCTCTCTCCCCTCTTCTGGCTGCTGCAGATATTCCGGAAATCGGTGGACAAGTGCACGGATGTCGAGGCGTGGAAGCTGAACGTTGCTCACACTCTTTTCATGCAGGTAATACCTCGGTGGTCACGTGACGTGTTCTGCATAGAGTGTTAGGCCTGCTGCGTGGAAACAGAACTATACTGTGTGCATGTGGGTATGGCTTTGTACATGTACAGTGCAGCTCACTGTAATCCGAGTACACTCTTAACTCGGCTATCAGGGCGGTCCGGGACTGGGCACTGTCCGTAACTTTGAAATGTCCCTAACTTCGAATCACATACATTTCTGCTGGGGAAAGGCTAGACATGTGACATATGACGTAACTTTTTCCACACACGTGGCAAGAGACTAGTAATATTTCCACTGAAGCTCACCAAAGTGCCCGTAGCTTCGGCGTCCGGAAAACCGAGGTATGAGTGTACGTGAGTCACGTATGCAGCCTGTCGCTGTGCCGCCCCAGATCTGCGAACCATGTCATGTTCACTGGTGCAGACTGGTTTTCCATCGCTGTTGTGGACTATCAGTATGTTTCCCTGTTCTGCAATACCTGGAAATTGATTTCTCACATTGCACAGCTCTGGCATCCGCCCAGCATAGCATAGTAAGCATTGTTTTGCGGCAAACACGGCCCTTACCACTGAATGTCCAGAGATATGTATTAGACACTTATCAAGGACCAAACTGGGCAGCCATGTTGCTTCCCAGCTCAAATCCACCCATCCCTGCGGCAGGGCATCGATGTCTGTGTGCAACACAGTACTGATCATGTCGATTTCACTGTCCCCATGCCACTTTCAGCCATTCCGACTCCAACCTCTCCCCGGGACCTGGATGTGAAGCAACTGTCTATGCATGTGTTGCGCTATGACTGTGTCTGCAGGACAACAAGTACAAGGAAGCCATCAACTTCTACGAGCCCATCGTGAAGAAGCACTATGATGAGGTATGTGCCAGCTTGCAATGAGAGAGCTTGAAAGCTCGGGGCCCTACGCTATGCTTTTTTGCCTAGCTGATGATGCATGGTATTGGACCGGATGGATTCGTTTTTTTCAATACACTCGTGCAGCTGACCAATTCTGATAGCATTTATGCTGAGTAGTGCAAACATTCTATGCTTTCAGATGGTCAACAAACAAACTCGAGACAGTGCAAGCCGAAAGAACAGACTTTTTGTGTAGAATTATTCAAGTTATGCAGGTTTTAAGGGAATTTCAGGTGAACATGGTTACATGTACATGCAACAATGGTCTCTACTGAGGTGATATTCCTATCACGCTCTTTGGCATGTTCTCATTCTCCGGTGCAGCTGTTCATAAGATATCAGTATGATACTTCAGTAGCTTTCGAGCAACCTCCCGCTTCCTGAAACCTAAAAGTACAGCCATAGCTGTATCTCTTTGTTTGATCCTGAGTTCTGTCATGTGCTCTGAGTGGACGGGCACCAAACACAGTTGCTGCTGAGTGTGCTCCACAAATGCGCCCACCCCAAGGGTGTGTGTGTGTGTGTGTGTGTGTGTGTGTGTGTGTTTTAAGCCTGTGAGGGTAACCCAATGAAATTCGAAGAACCTACATGTACATGTGAACTTCTGCAACAGCTACTGCTGCTCCTACTTCTGCTAGTGCTGTTGTTGCTACTTATGCTGCTGCTGCTATTGTTGAAATTTCTGTTGCTACTGCTGGACTGCTGCTGTTTCTGCCGCTGCTGCTTTCGCTGCTGCTGGTGTGGTAGGTTGCACAATTGTGCAGCAGCGTGGAAGTACTGCAGCAGTGTGTACTCTGCATCCCAGACCACAGTCACCACCAGTTTCTAGATGGAAATATTGAATCTGGTGCTGAAATATTTACAACTTTGGAGTATGTCTCTTTTGGGTACCTATTGTGTTTTCAGTTTTCCATTACCTATTGAATGATTATTGTTACCCTCTACTCTCCTCCTTTTGTTTATAAAAACAGTTATTACAAGTCAGTGCAATTGTTCTGGCAAATCTCTGTGTGTCGTACATCATGACGAGCCATAACGAAGAGGTAAGTCGAGATGGCCTGTCCAGGGTTTTTTTCTTTCCGATTGTGCTTTCCACATGCAGGTGTATGCGTACGTGCATGTCATCATGGTGTGCGTGTGTGCGTGTGCGTGTGTGCGTGCGTGTGTGCGTGTGTGTGTGTGTATGTGTGTGTGTGTGAATGCATGCATGCCAGTGTGTGCTTTGTCTGTCGCATCGGAATTGATACCACTGCCCTTTACTAAACTCATGCAGGTCTTATGCCTGGGGCGGGCGATGCTGGTGAGACTGTGTCTGTCCATTTTTCGGTCACTGAGTGTTCATAATTGTTTCCACTGCAGCAGAGTGTAGAGAGGTTATGCGATTACATCATTAGAGATTATAGATGTTGTGCGATTACATCATCAGAGTCTATAGAGTTACATCATCAGAGTCTATAGAGATTATGCAATTACATCGTCAGGTGAAGAGTGAGTCCATGTGCCTGAGTTTGTTCTCCACCATCATTCTTTTCCCGCTGTCAATAGGCCGAGGAGCTGATGAGGCGGATAGAGAAGGAGGAGGTAAATTATGGTTAACAAGCGAGTGTTAGTGTCAGTGTGTGTGTGTGTGTGTGCGCGCGCGTTCGCGCTTGCATATGGGAGCTTGTGCGTGTACGTACCGTAAAGTACCATTGATCCGCCCCCTCTCACATTCCCGCCTCCTGCCGATTTTCTACATGTGAAGCGATTTCGGCGTATACAACGAAATACGATGTTGAACCGACGCTTGCCCCTGCTGTACACAATATGTGCCAATCCAGGATGAAAATGTGCTCAATCCAGCACATCTAGTCTGACACTCCACGTTGTTGCACATCGTACTGCACTTCACAGCCTTGATCTAATTCCCGCCACTGCCGACAAACCAGCTGGGAAGCGACATGGGGGGGGGGGGGGGGGAGGGGGGGGGGGGGATCAACGGTACTTTTACTTTACACTACATGTGTGCGTGAATGCATGTGTGCGTACCACGTCCGTTTCATCGCAATTCTCGCTTATCTATCGCAACTAAGAACAGGAGTTATTTTATCGCTCTGTAAAATTTCCAATCTGCATAGTGAAGAAGCATGATACAGGATTCCTGTCCGCCACAAGAAAAATAATTCAGTGATGGAATCTGATGAGGCAAGTCGAAGAAAGGAAGCAAAGTTACAAGAAGTGTACAAAAGAAACCAGTGACGGAGCGCGTTCTTGCACTGACGCTTCAGTTTATCCGACTCTGGCTCTGTATCACTTGAGCTGACATTCGCTGGTGTATACAGTGTAGTTGCTGGAATAGAGACTGAGTATCTCTTACTTTTTCCGCTTGGCGTATGGCAGAGATGGGAAAGGAACAGTCGTGGCTGTCACTTTGGCACTTGGAGGAACGTGGGTGGGCAGCGTGACCCGTTTGTCACCACTGTGTGTTTCAACAATGTTTTTGAATCAGGCACACATCCCTCTCCAGACAGCTGTCATACGCTCTGCTGGATACGCTGACCACGACTGTTGCACTGCCGTTGCCAGGTCCAACAATGTCTTCTTCGCCACCATCTCGCCATCAGTTTGCAGGCTTGCAAAGAATGCAAGGTCGTTGCACTTGCGGTTCAAACGTGGCGACTGAGCCAATTCTGAAAGAGTCTCCAGACTGCCAATGTTGTAAGACCTCAGCCAGCTTTAGCAACTGGCTATATAGTAAGCCAAAAGGAGTGCGGCCGCAGCCAGCTAAAATATTATGTGAGAGTGAAAATTGTCGACTTACTTTTATCTCGGGATTTTCATTTGCTCACCAACTGCTTGGACTAGACCGGCAAGCAAGTGCGATTGCAAATTTCAACAGGATGCTATCGCCACCAGTTGATGAATGAGGAGCAACGTTAACGTGTTTGACATAAGTTCTTCATTCCATCATGTTTCAAAATATTAACACAACCCCACAGACAAGTTACCCTGACCTTGGCCCATATTTTGTGTATATGTGCATGTGTGTATGTGTGTGTGTGTCGTTTTGCGTGCACGTGCACGCATGTGCGTTTGGCTGGATATGCATGTGCATTCTTATTGATGCATGGCAGGAACAAATTGCATATGAGGACCCAGACAGCAAACTCTACCATCTGTGCATTGTGAACCTGGTCATCGGGTGAGTTACAGTGCACACTACTTCCCTCTAATTTGTTGATGCTATCTTCGTATGTTCCGTCTATCAGTAGCAGGTAGACTGTAGATCCCGTGAGGTCGAAAATAGAGCCTACTGCTACAGTACATTCTGAATAGCATTGCCTGTGTAATGTGTTCTGTCATGGGCATAGCACACAGTGGACTTCGATGAAATGCTACACCTTTGCTCTCACCAGCTCCCACATTTCTGATAAAACTGAAGTATTTTTTTCCTGTTCTACCCGCATTTAAAGTGTACGTTGCGCTGTTGCGGCAACGAGCTAAAGCAAATCAAAACAAGACCAAAGAAGCACGTAGCCTATCTCAATCTACAACTCTCATGCATGAACAGAACACATCGGGGTCTTTAGTAGCAACTGGATGGTATTAGACTGGTCTGGTTGCCATGGCTTCTGCTGTAGCATCATTGTCACCGCCCCTTGTCATGGCCTCGTGGATGCAGTGAATGGAATTTTCGGTCTTTGACCACTCTGTGGTGGGTCTGATCTACTCACCTCCCACCGCTTAGGAGCTGCACTTGCGACTTGATCCTAGAGGGTTGTGGCGTTCCTGCGGATGCCAAAAACTCGGCTTCCGAGCCTTGATTTTTTGTCATGGCCTGTCAATAGTCAACCGTGCACATTTGCTTGCGTGCAGGTATGCATATACAAGTCATTATTTAAAAATTATAATTTGGCGCACTTTTAGTGCTACGTGGTTTATGATTTCTTCTTTTTTTTTAGTCTTGTATTTAGCGCTTTCGCGTGTTATCATAATTTTTTTCTTATTTTAGCACCGAGTTATTATTTCATTGACTGGTTCTAGGTTTATACAAGACTGTACGCTGACCATCATGTTGTAACATGTGTGTGATTATTATCCGTGGACAGCACGCTCTACTGTGCCAAGGGGAACTATGAATTCGGCATCTCACGTGTCATGAAGAGCCTCGAGCCCTATCACAGAAAGGTAACGATGCTGTTTCCTTATCAAACAATTCGCGCCTCCTAACGAACATAGCGAAAGTTAATTCCAAACGACAAATTTCTACTTATACAGTAAGCGCAGGGCTCGTGATGGAGAACCGCATGTACATGTATATTAGGGGTGAAACGAAGGTCTCAATTTCCCATTCGAACCTTCTTTATTAAAACGAACGAAGGTGTCGAAGGATTCTTTTTTAGCATGATCACGGAAACGCTCAAAAATCTTAAAAATAAAAAGGGGGCAGAAAATCAGAACCCAATACTTATATTGTATGTGCAATTTGTTTCTGAATCTGGTGGTATCAATGTATCCATTCCAGGTAAGAAAATACTTTGGTAGAGCACACAACTTTAGATAGAGGCAAGGTTTCAACATACTCTTGATAGAGGCCATACCTAATACCAAGAGTGCATAAACAATGTTTATGGACTCTTGCTAATACCTGTTTGTGAGTCAATTGTCCATATTTCTGACAATTTAGATCAGTGGGATCGTGTACAGTCTTGCTAGCCTTGGCTTTTGTGACACAAAATGACAGGAGTACTGCTCTAGTGTACAGCCAGTTGCATGCTTGAACAACACCAAAATGGACGGAAAAGAGCCATATTGCGTAGTAAATATCAGATGCCCAACTTCATCAAAAAATTGTCAAATCTGGACATGTACTTTTCGCTTATCTGCTCGCATCCACTGGGTGCATTGGTGATTGAGAGGAGAGTGAATAGTCACTGGGTGAGGAACTTCACCTGCGTCGATGATTCCAGGCCATCGCTGCGCTCCCTCTCGCTGCTGCTGCTGGGAGAGTGAATACTGCAATGGCTTCAGCGATGGACACTTTTATTTTCGATACAAAAAATGAGACTACACTCGTATCGCTGCTACAACTTTCTCCAGACACCATCACTAGCAGATATCGACGGCAGCTACAGCAAGCTATATTCCTGGTACAAGCAAAACTGAGCGAAAACACGATCGAAATCGCAAAACTACTCTCCTACTAGTAGTTAGTATCGCAGAGCGCCAAACACTCGACGAATACAATCAAAAAAGTCATCCATAAGTACACCATGGTAGATCTACACACCAACGCAAAACGGGAACACGCTGGTGACTGGAACAGGGCCAGTTCTTCACTGACTTGTCACTTCTTCAGTTCCAGTGCGCACGCGGACCGTGCCTCTACTTGTAGTACAGCATATCCTAGTGCATGCAGCACATCGCACAAGATCAATGCATTGATGCATGCACTAAACCCGTGTCGACCTTCGTTCGAATCAAAAACGAAGGTTCGTTTCAAAGGAAAACGAAGGTCCTTCGAACCTTCGACTACTTCGTTTCACCCCTAATGTATATGGATCATGTCAATGCATGTTTGACGTCATGCATGGACATGATCCATATGTTATTACACACACTGTGGGACAAGTCCGTGATCACGGTGAATCCCCTGATAAAAAGTACAGACTTACAATACCAGGAAGTACAAAAGTACCATTCACGGTAGGGGTCAAACGGGTGCACCTTTAACTAACGAACGGGTAATTTTCTTAACGGGCGGGTTAACGGGTACCCTTTAGCAGACATGTTTAATTTTTGCGCATTTTTCACATGTAATCTACGTGGAGATAAAAGTTTAATAATAGCTATGAAAAGTATGGATGCCGCAGACATCACCACGCAACATGACAATTTGTTCAAGGTTTGGTTTTGTGTGTTTCCAAAATCGATTTTTCACTGATGATCGGAGCTTGAAAATCGATTTTGGAAACACACAAAACCAAACCAGTCATGTTGCGTGGTGATGTCTGCGGCATTCATACTTTTCATAGCTATAATTGTCACATGAATCAAGATTTTAATTCATCTGTTCCCGGGTTGCATTTTGATATCATATTGTGAGTCGCAAATCTATTGGTGTCTGATAGTCGCAGGAGTAGAGCTACTAGGTGCGAAAATGCAACAACAATGCAGACATCCAGCGTGGAGTTATAAATAATTGACTCCCGCCTGGAATACACGATCCCAGCAGTGTTGCTCCGTATCGACTGGTTCATCAAAATCCAAACGAGTACTGTAATTTCACAAATTTTCGGTGTACTTTTATTTTCGGTACTTTCGGTGCGTCTGTTTCATACCTAAAATTTCAATACACCGAACAAACACTAACACACATAACACAATAGGGAACTGCTTCTCTGTACCGAAAATTTCTGTTCACCTAACCTAGCCCGTTGCCCTCATACCGAAAATATTGAGCACCGAAAATTTCTGAAATTAGAGTACCCTTTTACTAACGGTACATGAGATTAACGGTCGGGTACCCGGGTACCCGGTACACCCCTTTGACCCCTAATTCACGGTACCCGGGGTGAAACTTTGTGCTACTGGTATAAGGAAAAATATCGACTAATGTACATGTAGCAGAGGGATAAAAATTATAAGCCCAGTCTCTAATATAAGCCTAGGGTTCAGACTATTATTATTGTTTAATTCATATTTTACTAGGGCAGCATTCCCCACTAGTTGGTGAATTATAACCCTGGGGCTTATAATGGAAATAACAGGGTAAATCATGTTTAGAGACATGTTTCTGGGACTGAATAGTGGGTACTCATCAAACTAACGGCAGGTTTAGCCTTCCAATT